GTGGGAGGGGGGGGTGTAGTATTAACGGAAGGCTTCATGGGTAGTTATAGCTTGAAGGCTGCTGAAAACATTTGAATTCTGCTTTGGATCAGAGGGGATGTTTGTAGTTACTGATTTTTTATATTGCATTTTATACAAGAAAAGGACAATAATTTTTACGCAAATGACAGAAGCACTGGAATGAGAGTATATTTCTTCATTGTTCAAGCTGTAATGCCTTTGGGATAAAGACGTGTAATTTGGCTTATTACCATGTTTCGAAATATCTAAAAATTGATAATAAATGGTCGAAGAGAAAGATTTTCTGCTTTTGGTTCTGCTACCCTTATACTGTGCCATTCTTGTTTGTAATTTTCCGTTTCAGCCATGGTTGGTGATGTGAATATATATATGAATGACATGGATGACCCCCAAATGGCAGAGATTGAAATAATGATTGCTGAACTGAAAAGGTAAATCTTCCAAATATAATTTTCCAATTCTTTTTCTCTGTTGTAGCACTTCTTCCTTTTTCATTTTAATAAAAATTGCTCAGCTTTCATTTTTTTACTTTTATCTAGGTCCATATAAGCAAAGTGTGAAAAGTTCCTTCTTTTCTGCCATTATTCATTATCCTGAAAGTTAGGAATATCACTTTTAAATACCTAAAAGAACTCTGAACTTATTTAAATTCTTTTAGAAATATCCATTGGCTTCAATTATTAGGATGGAATTCATAGGAATGGTGCAGCTAAAATTCATTTCACTCGCTAAATTGTACTCTCAGAAATAGAAATAAAACAGTAATCTGTAGATTAGCATAACAGTGATTGCATCTTCTGATCTCTATTGTTACATTTTACCTCATCCCGATTTAATTTCTCAAATCAATAGAAATGTGATAATAAACATTTATGAACCAAAATGAATTAAGATTTTCTAGAAAGTTCGACTGCTGGAATTTCCAGGAAGTTGTGCCAGATTTACAGGCCAACCTATCAACAACAATTAGAACAGAATGAATTTGGAGTCAACTCAACACAGCCACACTCCATGCTTTATCTCGGGACGGTTTATCAGTTTCACCTTTATCACTATAACTTCTGCTAGTAGAATCATCTCCATGCTACTTATCTATGAAGTAATCATGGTGAAACGCTCTTTAGTATCTCTTGAACATCATTTCTCACCATGAGTTTACAGTACATCTAATCATCTCTTGAATATGTTGAATAAATGCAGTTCAAGTATTTCTTTTGCGATGTAGCATTATAACTTGGTCGTCTTGCTGCTTTATGATGACTTCTCTTGTCATATCTCAAAACACTAACCAAAGAGTTTATAATTCTCATTATTCTTAGTGGTATAGCTCTAAAAACTATAGCGGTACTCTATAATGTATGTGGACATGTTTTCCATCTTTTCTTTTTCCTTTTTCTCACAGTTAATGCTGTTCTTTTGTACTTTGTTAGTCATTGCTCATAACGAATTCCTTGCTCACTTTTTGTGACACTTGGCTTGCATAGTCGTGGCAAAGGACTTGCGCAGGAGTCAGTTCTGATGATGATAGTATTTGCAGTTGAGAATTTCAACATCCATGCTTTTCATGCCAAAATTGGTGAATCAAACAAAGCTTCTCTTAATCTATTCTACAAATTGGTGGGCCTCTCTCTCTCTTACATGCACATGAATTTTTATTTAACGTCTCATGTGGATATAATAGATACATGTAGGGATGCAGAAGACTTACATACTCACAGTCAGACATGCACATAGGAACGTAGGTTTACCAACGCAAATATGCAAGAAAAACATTTATTTAATCTAATTAAAACAGGTTCATGCCATTTTGCTATATATGTATAAATGTATTCCGATTTTTCCTTTTTGGCATAAAGAACATGCATGCCTCTTAGTTCCACATGATTTATTACAGTTTAACTATACGCTATATATGCTTCTGTAGGGCTTTAAGAAGATTTCTTACAGTGAGGTCTTCAAAGAGGTGAGCTTACATCACCTTTCACATCACAATGAATAGAAGTTTTTAAGTGCTAGCAAAATGCTTATTTATAGGTCAATGCCTGCAGTTAATCCCCAACAAGACGTATCTATCATTCTAAGAGGACTTGACGGTTGGGGTTTTATATGCTTGTGAGTTAGATGCATATAGTTTGCACACTTATCAGATACTTGCCCTTCTCAAACTGCTGAAACAAAGTCCTGCCCACTTTATATGTACATTAAAAACTAAAACAACGAATCCCATCCAGTAAATTTACTTTTTTCAACAGCTTGATGTCGTCAGTTTTATTATGTCCGTTTCTGTTGCACCAAAATTTAGTAAAAAGGATCACGTATATTCTGTTATAAGATGGCAGCGTGCTATCAATCCTACAAACTCTTTATGCTGAACTCCCCAAGTCAATTTTGTACAAGAAGAAATCATGTTAGGGGAATTTGTCTTTAGTCGAGTAAATTTTTTAGGTTCTAATTATGTTTTGTTTTTAATTCGTACAGGTTACATTGGAATTGCCAATAACAGAATCTTCCCGTGAGAAGCTACATCAATTAATTGGTAATATGGTTACACATTCATGGCCGTGAAAATCTATCTTGTGGAGAATTATACATTTTAAATATAAAGTATATAAGTTTCAGTTTATAGATTCCCTGATTAATGAGGCTGTCCCAAATGTAAAATCGTTCAAGATTGTGAATTTTGTTGCTTTTGTATTTGCTATTGACTGGACATGACTATCAAAGATAGTAATTTGAAATCCTGTAGAAATATCCTTTCTTTGTTAATTTCTTCTATCATATTGCCTTGCTTGGATATATCAGATGCTACTTTTCGGCTGAACATTTTAATAGAATGTTTTCTGGAAAAGTTGGTTCATGTTATTAAAAACCTTCTGTACCTTAAGAATGCAAGATACTCGTGTCATGTCATGCAGTCGAGGCCAATATTACCCTTCCCCCCACATGGATAACACCCAATTAACTTTGAGTGTGGTGATTATAGTCATGGCCTAACTTATACAGTCATACTAAAGTAAATATATACATTTCAACTATTCTATTCAAAGTTCGAATAGTAGGGATAAGTCTCCCATGTTCCAGTTCCTCCAGTTAGGTGCTTTCAATAGGGCAGATCCATCTTCCCATTGTTTGAAAACTTGAAGATGATGTCAAAAGAATCTGAGATAGATTGCTCGAAACTGGATCAGCTTTTCAAACATAATTGAACAGTTAGTACTTGTTGTAATGGTCCAAATCCAATGATGGGAAAGATGGGAATGTCATTATTTGAAAATGCTGAGGAGATGTTTATAACTTGAAAGAGATCTGGTAGCTGAAGGATTGACTATAATTGACAATGATTACATGTTTCTAACCAGCATCACTGTGGGAACTTTCCTGCTGTAGTTAGAATTGCAGAAGCAGCTAATGCTTGCTCCAGCCATTATTGGGCCCAGTAGGATTGGTTCCTCATGCAATCCAGCCCCTTTGAAATCTGACTGGCCAGTGAAACAATTTTCTGATGAGCTTCTTGATATGTGAAGTCACTGGAGCCGCTTTTCTGATGGCCAGTAAGATTTTTGACTTTTCTGATGTAGTCCCAGTAAAATGGGGTTCCAAATATAAACTCACCGCCGGAGTTAATGAATGTTAGATATATGAAGTGTGTTGGAGCAGGTAAAAAAAAAAAAGGGAAAAAGAAACGAGAACGCCGGATAGAAAACTTGCTAAAGATCTTGAAACCATGGTCATGGAAGATTTGTATTTGATAAATTGATCGTCCTTGATAAATTAGATATGGCACTGAGATCGGCAAAATATCTGTGGGTAAACGAATTGCTTACACATGAGAAGTTCATTTGGAACTTTTCCAAGATCTTCATGATATAATTAGGACCCGTTTGTTAAGGATTTTGAAAAGTCAAAGCTGTCCTCGTATGATTATCCCTCACTAAACCAGCTTTTGTTAGCTAACATTGCGCTATGTGCTATGTTTAATCCTAGTTATACGAGTTTTTCTCACTCCGAGGATCTTTAAACTTTTTTTTATCAAAAGGGGGTTTGGCTCTGTTCGCATGTGGATGCTGTGTCATTTTCCGTACAACTTTAGGGATCATTTTATTCACACTTGACAAGATGAAGCTTTTTTTCACAAAAATGCACATTTGAACATGGGTGAAAGTTAATTTTATTTTTTACTATTATATGAACTGCTCTAATTTTTCTCTTGTTTTCAGCTTTGAATAAAGAAAGATATTCGGTTAAAAAGGAATAAATATCAGGTTAACTAATTTAGATGATCTACATTTACGAGATAAACGTTCAGCTTTAAATTGACAATGATTACATGTTTCTAACTAGCATCACTGTTGGAACTTTCGTGCTGTAGTTAGAATTGCAGAAGCAACCATCCAGCCATAGTTGGGCCCAGAAGGATTGTTTCCACATGCAATCCAGCTCCATTGAAATCTGACTTGCCAGTGTTATTATTATGGAAAAATCCATTTGCTTTCACAGAAATTCACCAGAGTATTCACGATGAGTGGGCCTCGCCATATAATAAAATAATAATAATAACAATAATGTAGGAGACCCACGTGTGAGTGTTATGTGGGTTTTCTGTGAAAATGCTTTCTGTACATGAAGCATGTTTATATTATTATATATAGGGAAAAATTCATAAATAAGATGTTAAATTTCACCCATTTCAAATTTAAGAACATGATGTTTAAAATTTCAAATGTCCGATTTTTTAAAATTAATTAATTGAACATATATTTTATGAATTAAATATATCAATGTCACAATCCCTATATAATTTGTTTACAATTTATAAATTAATTAGTCACAAATTATTTATCGATCACAATAAAATTTTTTATAGGTCACAATTTTTTCATCGGTTACAGATTTATGAAATTAAGAAGTCACATATTATTCATTGGTCACAAATCACAAATTTTATAAATTCAAAAATTCTATATGTCATAATTTGATCATCAGTCACAAATCAAAAATTGAAACGTCACAATTTATTTATAGGTCACAAATCACAAAATTATAAGTCATAACTTATTAAACAATTACTAATTATCAAATTATAGATCACAAATTAACAAGTTTTTAGGTCGTACATTATTTTTTAGTAACAAGTTATTTTTTTCATTAGTCGAATATTGTTTATAGGTTACATAACCAAATAATCTGTGAGCACCACCAACACTTGTGATTGTCGTCTCACAATTGCCACCAACAGCATGGCAATCGAAATCGCATCCCTGGAACCACCACCTCCCGACAGCAAACCATCATCTAAAAAATACCAACATCACCACGACCACCACTACCTGTCCAGCACCGCAACACAGATCGACCACCACCACCACATATCACTATCCACACCGAACCACCCCACAGCACAATGCCACCCCACAACCATTTTCTCTATCTCCATTTACACCACATCCAACCACCACCTCACCACAGATCTATCGCTATGTCCACAACATACCACCACCGCACATTGCACCACCAACAGCACACCACCATTTACACAGCCCCACACGTCGCGGAAGAAAGAAGATGGAGAAGGGGGAGGAAATGGAGAGCAGTGGCAACACATGTTCCACTTCGAGCTGTACGAACATCGTGGCGCCCCGCGACGATCGTGTACAGGGTTGCTACTGTCGCTGCTGCGAGGCACCGTTGCGCCGAACGTGTGCAACTCACTGGTTGGTTGCGGGAGTCGGAGTAGCCTTTTTTTTTACTTGTTGACGTCGGAGCCACCAAAGAGAGAAGATGTGGGTAATGATTTAGGATTTTTAGGGTTTGAGTAGTATTAAAGATTTGAATTAATATATGATTTTTGTATAAATTTTATATCTGATTTTTGAAATTAAATCTTTAAAATTCTGATTTTGGGTAATTTCCACTTATATAAATTGAAGTCCACATAATAAATAAATAGGTTATAGGTACACCAATATTAGACAATCCATTTAATGGAGAATAATAATAAAGATGGACAATAAAATTTGTAGCTCGAAAGTGCAGTAATTAACAGATTTTAAACAATACATCTTTTATATATTAAAAGTGGCTATGTAACGAAATTTTTTTGTTTTTAACGGAAAAACTAACGGAATTTGTTATTTTAACGGATTATGTAACGGAATTTCTTATTTTAAATAGGTAGTTGCACCTTCCTTCAGTGTTTTTATCATAACTTTGTATTCCGATATCCGATTGAGGCGATTCAAAATGCTTTGAAAAGCTAACTCATCTGGCTACAACTTTGATTCAGACATCATTATCCAATTGGATCACTTTCTATGCCAAAAATAGGTCTCAATATAACGGACTATGTAACGAAATTTCTTGTTTTAAACATAGGACCCGTTTGTTAAGGATTTTGAAAAGTCAAAGCTGTCCTCGTATGATTATCCCTCACTAAACCAGCTTTTGTTAGCTAACATTGCGCTATGTGCTATGTTTAATCCTAGTTATACGAGTTTTTCTCACCTCCGAGGATCTTTAAACTTTTTTTTATCAAAAGGGGGTTTGGCTCTGTTCGCATGTAGATGCTGTGTCATTTTTCGTACAACCTTAGGGATAATTTTATTCACACTTGACAAGATGAAGCTCTTTTCCACAAAAATGCACATTTGAACATGGGTGAAAGTCAATTTTATTTTTTACTATTATATGAACTGCTCTAATTTTTCTCTTGTTTTCAGCTTTGAATAAAGAGAGATATTCGGTTAAAAAGGAATAAATATCAGGTTAACTAATTTAGATGATCTACATCTACGTGATAAACGTTCAGCTTTAAATTGACAATGATTACATGTTTCTAACTAGCATCACTGTTGGAACTTTCGTGCTGTAGTTAGAATTGCAGAAGCAACCATCCAGCCATGGTTGGGCCCAGTAGGATTGTTTCCACATGCAATCCAGCTCCATTGAAATCTGACTGGCCAGTGTTATTATTATGGAAAAATCCATTTGCTTTCACAGAAATTCACCAGAGTATTCACAATGAGTGGGCTCACCATATAATAAAATAATAATAATAACAATAATGTACGAGACCCACGTGTGAGTGTTATGTGGGTTTTCTGTGAAAATGCTTTCTGTACATGAAGCATGTTTATATTATTATATATAGGGAAAAATTCATAAATAAGATGTTAAATTTCACCCATTTTAAATTTAAGAACATGATGTTTAAAATTTCAAATGTCAGATTTTTTAAAATTAATTGATTGAACATATATTTTATGAATTAAATATATCAATGTCACAATCCCTATATAATTTGTTTACAATTTATAAATTAATTAGTCACAAATTATTTATCGATCACAATAAAAATTTTTATAGGTCACAATTTTTTCATCGGTTACATATTAAGAAATTAAGAAGTCACATATTATTCATTGGTCACAAATCACAAATTTTATAAATTCAAAAATTTTATATGTCATAATTTGATCATTAGTCACAAATCAAAAATTGAAACGTCACAATTTATTTATAGGTCACAAATCACAAAATTATGAGTCATAACTTATTAAACAATTACTAATTATCAAATTATAGATCACAAATTAACAAGTTTTTAGGTCGTACATTATTTTTTAGTAACAATTTATTTTTTTCATTAGTCGAATATTGTTTATAGGTTACATAACCAAATAATCTGTGAGCACCACCAACACTTGTGATTGTCGTCTCACCATTGCCACCAAAAGCATGGCAATCAAAACCTCATCCCTGGAACCACCACCTCCCGACAGCAAACCATCATCTAAAAAATACCAACATCACCACGACCACCACTACCCATCCAACATCTCAACACAGATCCATCACCACCACCACCACTATCCACACCGAACTGCCACCCCACTACCATTTTCTCTATCTCCATTTACACCACATCCAACCACCACCTCACCACAGATCTATCGCCACGTCCACAACATACCACCATCGCACATTGCACCACCCACAGCACACCACCATTTACACAGCCCCACACGTCGCAGAAGAAAGAAGATGGAGAAGGGGAGAAGGGAGAGGAAATGGAGAGCAGTGGCAACACATGTTCCACTTCGAGCTGTATGAACGTCGTGGCGCCCCGCGACGATCGTGTGCAGGGTTGCTACTGCCCCTGCTGCGAGGCACCGTTGCGCCGAACGTGTGCAACTCACTGGTTGGTTGCGGGAGTCGGAGCAGCCTTTTTTTTTACTTGTTGACGTCGGAGCCACCAAAGAGAGAAGGTGGGTAATGATTTGGAATTTTTAGAGTTTGAGTAGTATTAAAGATTTGAATTAATATATGATTTTTGTATAGATTTTATATCTGATTTTTGAAATTAAATCTTTAAAATTCTGATTTTGTGTAATTTCCACTTATATAAATTGAAGTCCACATAATAAATAAATAGGTTATAGGTACACCAATATTAGACAATCCATTTAATGGAGAATAATAATAAAGATGGACAATAAAATTTGTAGCTCGAAAGTGCAGTAATT